AGGCCTGCCCCGGGCGCCCGCCAGAGCAGTGGCCCGTCCCCTGTGCACTGAGGTGCTCTGACCACAGGAGCTGCTGCTGCTCTGTTTTTACGACAGTCTCATCGGCCTCCGGCCTTGGCCCCCCCAGCGGGATTTCAGACAGGGTCTTTGACGTTGCCAATGGCTGGGGTTACAGGTGCATACCACACCTGGCCTGGGGCTGGGCCGGGCCACCATGTCGCAGCGGCAGGGCGCAGGGCACAGCGTCCCAGCAGCATGTGTCTGCAAGCTGGGCCATTTGCTGACTGTCTTGACCTGGAAAGGCCAGCACCCTTAGACAAGTCTTGGGTCAGGGGTCCTCAACAACCATGACAATTCACCAATGCACCAGCCCAAATGGTGGAGCCCTGGTACACGCACACTCTGTGTATGACGCTAAAAAGCATGCAATGTGCATGTCAGCCCTGTGGCAGTTCGTGCATTCCTCTGCCCGTGCAACGGTCACCACCATCCAGCTCCCCGGCAAGCACTCTTTGGACCATCTGTGAGTCCTGCAGGACCTGTCCTTCTGGGCCTGGCACATCTGAGCACCACACCCGCAAGGGTCACCCCTTCATAGCAGGGGTCAGGGTGCCACTACTCCAACGTATGGATGGCCCACATCACGCTGATTCCCCCATTGGTGGACACCTGGGCTGCTTCTACCTCCTGGCCCGTGTCTCAGGGGTGCACGGCACCTCTCAGCCACCCAGTGCCGTCAGGCCAGAAGGGGCCAGATTCTACATCGACACGACTTCCGCACAGACAATGGTGCTTCCCAGAAAAACAGGAGCTTCCGCATCCATTCTGTCCATGGGTATCTGCCATGGAGCGGGACAGGGCTTGTGGGGCAGGGTGAGCCGGGATGTGGCCAGATGCCGGGGCGAGGAAGCACCCCAGCAGCATCTGGGAGGAAGGCCACATGCTGGGAGTCCTGGGAGGCACCTGGGAGCTCCGCGTGCCCCAACTTACCACTACACGCCTCCTGTCTCGGTCTCTGTTGTCATATGGCATCTCCCTGTGAGTGTGTCTCTTTTCTTCTCCTAAGGACACCAGTCATTGGGTCCAGGCACCCCCTAACGACCCCACTAAACTTCATCGCATCGCAAGGACCCGATTTCCAAACAATGCCAGCTCCACAGGTTCCTGGGCTTAGTGTCCAGGCACTTCTAACGGGACACACTTCAGTCTGAGGTAGCCAGGGAGGAAGAGACGGGCCTGAGAGACAAGTGTAGTCCAGTCCGTTAGCACCTTGTGGTAACTAAGTGGACCCGAAGGTCCTGGAAGCTTCAGGCTCTAGGACATCTCATGTCAAGCTGTCACTGCTGACCCTCTGAAGCCACTGTTCCTTGCAAATACCCTGGTAATAGGAAGCAGAAACACCACAAACCCCTGGTAACACTGGGGCCTCAATGAGAACAGGTCTCATGCACAGTTCCATGGGCCCTGACAGGCCCATGGGCCAACAGACGGCCCGAGGCCAAGCGAGCAAGTCCCAAGCCTGTGACAGGCACAGTGAGGGGGGATTTAAAGACAGAATCTATTATGGGGTTATGTGGTCCAACCTTAGTGTACAAGTGGGCAACGGAGTCTCAGAGAGGAAGGGGCCTGACATTTGATCTTGCAAAAGGACAGAGCTCTCTGGGCTGTGCGCTCCTGGCCCTGCAGCTGAGCCAGGGCGAGGGAAGCTCCCTGAAACCCCCAGCGAGGGGCTGGGCAAGCCCCCTGCTGAGAGCTGCCCAAACTCACTCAAGTGCCCTGCAGTGCTCCAGAGGGGTGAGGGACACTGCAGGGACGCACCTGAGGGAGACTGTGCCTCTGCCGGTCCCACAAGGCTACAGGGAGAGACAAGGCACGCTCTGCATTTGCATCAACTTTTATTACACAAAATAAAACCCCACCTCTGTTGCACATTCATACCTCCTACAAAACCCTCAACCCCAGGAAGCAGTCCCGTCTGTTCTTGGATTTTCCCTGCAATGGTGTCACACCATGGCTGCAGTCACGGTCCTTTCAAAGGACAAAAGCAGCGTCGGCCGCAGGCTCCACGCACTCCCGGCCCGCCCGCTGGAGGCAGACCCAGCACCGTCTGGACGCCGTGGCTAGGGACAGAGCAGCGGCAGGCCACCGCCTTCACCAGGCCGCCTCCGGCAGCACAATGAGTCCTCCCAGCTGGTCCTCTGGGGATTGGCTGTCACGGCGATGTGGTGGCACCATCCCCAGGCAGCTGACCATCCTGGGCTTCTCTTTGGGCAGGCCTAGGCCAGGGCCTTAGGGGATCTCTGTGTCCATGGTATAAATCTGAATGAGATCAGACACAATATTATCAATGACTGGCTTGGTAAGGTCGTCACTAAACACCTAGAAAGGAGAAGGAAAAGAGGCTCCGGTTAGATTCCATGCGGATGGAACAAGGCGCCGACCACCGAGTGCGCAACCGCATGCATGGGCAGGATGGGACACAGACCTCCCGGACGATGGGAAGATGCCTGCAAAGCCGATTCAGTTCCTGCCTGGGGAGGCTTTACAAAGCAGAGAACATTCCAGACGGAAGAGGCCTTGGTGACAGCTAGACCCAGAGCTCATGCTCCTGCCTCCGTCTGGGGCTCCCTGGGACCCAAGGTCTCTAGAGATGTTACTGAGAGTGCAGGAGGGACTCCCCTCGGCAAAGCAGGCAGACGACCAGACCAGAACACACAGGAGCACTCACAAATCCACAGGCAGACCCTCAAGGTCCCCAACCAAAAAGGGTGTGCCACACAGGGCCACCTCACAGGCCGGGGCCACATCCTACACCTTCCACCTTTCCCCTGCCCAGCATGTGGGAAAGGAGCCCCAAGCCCTGGAAAATCCTGGCCGAGAAGAGCCGGGTTACCCGCCAGGGCCCCTCCCGGCAGTCTATGCTACCTATGGGACTTATGGAGGGGCCTCAGGCCACTGCTGGGGCTGGATGAGCAACTAATGTAGGCACATGGGGCGCTCCGTGCCTACAGTCCACCCAGCAACATGCCCAGTAAAAAGCTCCCAGTAAAAGGCTGGCAACCCTGGCAAGGCTCGCTCCCTGCACCCTGTCCTGCGCTGCTGCCGTTGCGGGGAGACGCAGGTGCCATCTGCCTGGGAGCTCTGGCCTGGCCTCTCCTGGGCCCCACCTTGCGCGTCTTCCACCTTCGCTGATTTGAACTGTGCGTTTCTCCGTGCCCAGAGGGAAGCGGGAACCTGACATCTGCTCTGAGTTCTGGGAGTCCACCCAGGCGCCACCAAGCCTGAGGGTGCTCTTGGGGACCCCAACTACAAAGGAAGTTTTAAAAAGCCCTTGGTGGGTGCTGCAGTTGCCCTGCTGGGTGCTGCCGCCTGGAGAACCAGAAACCAACAAGGTCAAGGCCTTGAGCTGAGTCAAGGCATGAACTGGACCGAAGTCCATGCCCTCAGAACTGCCTGTGACCTTAGGTGGGAAACGGTGCCCTGGCTCACCTGGGGCTCTGAGTGGGGACAGAAACTTCAGAAATCCAACCTCACTCGTCAGGACCCACCCTGGGTGCTCCCTGGACTCTAAGCCCAGAAAGCAGCATTAAATTGCACCCAGGGCAAGGGGTAGACACAGCCGAGTCCACCGAGGCAGGCGCGAACAGCTGCGGCCGTCCACCCCCGGCTGCTGCTCAGCCTCCG